TGGGACTCGATCCCGGGGCCTCCAGGATCGTGCCCTGGGCCAAAGGCAGGCGCTAAACCGCTGCACCACCCAGGGATCCCTACAATACTCTTTATTGTAATTCCATATAGCCAGTTGATTCTCACAGGATTATTTAATTGATTTTTGCAGAACTCTTATGTCCTCAGTCAACCTGTAGTTATAAAGGATGAATGAGCCCCGCTCGGACATGAATGCTGGTTGATATTTCTGCTTAAATTAATGAATAAGACAAAAGTGAAATAACAAAGGTGCATGTTAGAACTTCATTTGTTTGTCATGTAGATGACTTCTTTATTCAATCAGATAATAGTTTCTCAAATCCTGGAAGAATATCTCCTCAAGTCTTTTTCTTCTTTACTTACTGTGCAACAGTTGTTTTTGATAGGAGAGAGATTTTGCTCCTCAGGGGACCTTTGGCAATACCCAGAGACATTTTTGGTTGTCACAATAATAGAAGGGGAGGGTGTTACTGGCATCTAACAGGTAAATAGATGCCAAACATCCCTCTCCCTAAAACTAATTATCTGGTCCAAGGTTGAGAAACTCTGATCTGTATTATTAATATTGTCTCCATAACACTTTAAAGTTTAGAAAATCAACAAGATAATAAATCAAGTCCAGATTTGTAGCATTTGCCAATTTCAGTGGTGTGAACATTCCCACTGTGGCTGATCTAAGGTACCAATATCACATCTTTAAGTGTGGAGTCGTTGAAAAATATGTAGTAGCACATGTTATATGGAATTTCTACCACAAAGATACAGCAGTTGTAACTAAATCCAAGAACATAAATTATAGTAAAATGTAGTAATATAATTAGTAATACATAAAAGGTTCTGTGTATCTATTACCTGTATTTATAATGTACTTATGTAAATAAACATTTAATTTTTAACAATGGCTATGCTTAACAGCTGACTCATAAAATTCTTAAAAGATTTAGCAGTTTGCTCTTGCAGGTCAGTATAGACTGGTCTGGCTCCAGCTTGGCACCAAAATGGCTACCCACTACTCTTGAATTCACATTTTATATTACCTGCACCTTAGAAAGACTGACCCAGTTCCAATGCCAGTTTTCTAAGGAATGGACTCTGGTTGGCCCAGATTGGGTCAGGTACCTGCAGGTTTGTGAATGTAGCTGGATCCAAAGGAAGCCTATTCCCGTCCATTAGGAAACTTCTGGAAGCATCTCTGTGAGTGGGAGTGCACCCTCAGAGGAGTCTGTAACAGCACTACAGAAACTGGCACATGCTTACTCCTCCATTCCTGTTTATCAAGACTCCATGCAGACCAAGTTTCTGACTCATCCACTGTTTCCTCCCCACAGAGGTTTCAAAATAATGTATTAGATCAGTGGTTCTCAAAGTGTGGTCCTTGGATCAAAAGCAGCTGCTTCACTTGGGGTCTTGTTCAAAAAGCAAATTATTGGGCATGATTCCAAACCTCCTCACTGAGATATTCTGGGGATGGAGGCCAGAAGTCAGGTTTCAAAAGGTCTTCCAGGTTATTCTGAGGCAAACTGAAGATTGAGGCCACTGTACTAGATTATCTAATTTAAACAAAGTTACATTCTGTTCTTTAGGACAGCAACAAAACAAACCCAGATCATCCTGATTAAATTAGGTATTTCTTCCAGTCTTCAGAAATGACAAATAATCTCCCTTTGGATGAGTTACTCTGGCGAGCAATAATCTCATCAATCTTATACTGATTTTTACTATTTCTTCTCTAGAAAATGACTGGTCTTTATTTCTGTGAATACTTTATTGTAACCTCATATATGCTATTAAGTCATATTTATCCGACATAATTTAACTTTTCAGGATCTGTTTCTTGATTCTCAAGAGTAGGGACTTCAATTTGGTTTAGGTCACAGAACCTAATGTAGGACAGAGCTCACAGAAGATACTTAAATGTTGGATGAATAATCATGAAGATTTACATAAATATTTTATGTCCAATCCTTTGCTTTCTTTTATTGTCATTATTTAAGTGTTATCATACATAATTTCTAAAGTAGTTACTCTGGGAAAATGTATAAGGAATTACAGTAATTAAAACAGAAAATGACAGCTTTCTGGATATTTTCTCCAAATTATAGAATTTGTATCAAGTTATGGTGTGAAGAAGAAAAGAATCGCCAGCAGTTACTCTTGAAAAGCCAATATTTTGATATGTTTCCTTCCATTTTTTCTAAGTTTATATGCTTTTCTAACCAAAAAGAGACCATATGCTGTTGTGCCCAAGATTGTGAATCCGAGAAACCACCATGGAGCCGACACCGATGCAAGCGCACGAAGGTTTATTAGCAAGCTCGAGCTTGGGTCCAAGTATACCCCACACAGCGGGGCAGGGACTTGGACCCCGAAGTGGGTTACAGCTGGGTTTTTTATAGGCTGGTCTAGAGGATTTTCAGAAGGGGTGGAGGAATTTCTCAAGTTCTGTTTACACTCTGATATGGGGCTTTCAGGGCATTGAGCTCTGTTCTCATTCTAATATGGGACTTTCTACCATGGGCGTGGGCTCTGTTGTCTTTCTGATATAGGATTCCCTGGCAAGGACATTCTGCAGTTTTTCCTGTGAAGTTCAGCTCTTATTTACAGGGGCCTAAGATGGCTGTACTTGTACTAATGCTAAACTTGAGGTAGAATGGCCTTGATTTTTCTCGGCCTCCCCAATGCTATATTTCTAGCTTCATTAGTTTGCTTTTTTACTAAGCACTATATCATGAGCATTCTCATATAATTGAATGTTTTCTGAAATATGGTTTTTAATGTTCCAGATTATTCTATCATATGTATGAACTATAAGTTGTTTAACCATTCCCCTATTTAAGATATTTGGGTCGGTAACAATATTTCACTTTTTAAATAACTACTGTGATGGAATGGCATGCATTTTAAAAAAACACTTTATTTATTTGTTTGTTTGTTTGTTTGTTTATTTAGAATGCATGAGCCAGGGGAGGGGTGGAGGGAGAAGTAGAGAGAGAATCTGAAGCAGACTCTCCTTTGAGTCTGGAATGGGGTGGATGGTGGCACTTGATCTCATGCTCTGAGATCATGACCTGAGCTGAAATCAAGAGCAAGATGCTCAGATGACTGAGCCATCCAGGTGCTCCAGGTTGCATATTTTGAAAATGAACACATTCTCTCTTAGAGTTAGGATGAGTTGGTTCTCTCCTCGTCGTCTTTTTTCCCTTCTGTATTGAAAAACTTGCTCATTAGTTTGCTTGTTCAAGTACACATCTCTCACTGTTCCATCTCAAGCCTTTATCAGGATTTAAAGCACATGTTTACATAAACATCAAAATCACTGAGAATCTGGCCTGTTTAAGGTAGCTAGTTTTTTTGTCTGGTTTACACTTACTGTAATCTCCCATTGGCCAGCTGTTCTTTGCTGTAAACTTCCATCATCCCTTGTCAGTCCTTCATTGAGGTTTGTATGTAATAAACTCTTATCTCTAAAACAGGAAGATCCTGGGGCACCTGGTGGCTCAGTGGGTTAAGGGCCCACCTTCGGCTCAGGTCATGATCTCAGGGTCCTGGGATCGAGCCCTATGTTGGGCTTCCGGCTCAATGAGGAGTCTTCCCTTCCCTCTGTCTGTGCTCTCTTTCTCTCAATTAAAATAAATTAAGTCTTGGGACTCTTGGGTGGCTCAGCAGTTGAGCACCTGCGTTCGGCCCAGTGTGTGATCCTGGAGTCCCAGGAGCGAGTCCCACATTGGGCTCCCTGCTTCCCTCTCTGCCTGTCTCTGCCTCTCTCTCTATGGCTCTCATGAATAAATAAATAAAATCTTAAAAAAAAATCTTAAAAAAACCCAGGAAGATGCTAATTAGTTATTTGCTTAGTGAATAATAAGTAACTCAGGAGACGGATAGCCATATAAGAGTGTTGCCATGTTTATTATTAGTTCAAGGACCTTTTCTTCATAAAATATTTTAAGCTTTCAAAAGCCCTAAAAATTAGCACAGCATTTTAGGTTAGAGGGCGAGTGAACTTCCTATGTTGACTTATTTTTGGTAAAAGTCAGATATCTTTTAGATGAAATGTGACCAACACACAAGCACACAGGTGCGTACAAAACTTTGTAAATTGATCAAACAGTTCTCTGCCACCTTTTATTTTGATAAATCATCTTACCCAGTATCAATTGACTGAACTAAATGATATTTCTTCCCTTTTTGAGGGGGGAAAACTAACATGTCAAATATTGTTCAGTTATGACTTATCTGGGATTTCAAAACCAGCTAAATGGCATAGAACCCAAGATAAAAGCTTTGAAAACAGTTCTCAGAGTCTTCTTAAAATCAAAATCTTAGATCTAATTTTTCTCCACAATTTAATTTTTTTCCCATGTGCCGGACTTACACACACACAATTTTTGATTACATCTCCAATCATGTCACTAGAAATCTTGATTGCTGAATGTATGACCATAAAAATTATCTCAATTAGTGTGGGATAAGTGTTCAATCATCACCAAGACCTGTTAGCAGCAGTTTAGAACTGAGGAGGAGAGACATTTACTTCTGAAACGAATTAAGTGGATGTAGTTGCTTAGCTTTACAGGAAATTTAACGGGTAACGGGCTGGCAGTGAACACTGCCCCTTTGTTCTGTACTTGGGAGCTAATAGTACCGTTCAGGGTTTTCCCACTTTAGTGACCTCATTCTGGCAAGCAGGTAAACTTCGGGAGCTCTGATGTGAAACGGTTTAATGAGAGAGGAGCTGGCCCTAATTAACATAATTGAAGTGTTCTTATGCGGAGGCTTCTGCTCCTGAACTAGCAGGTACCAGCAGGTGTAATGACTTCTCATGAAGAAATACAGCACGTCGACCTGCAGGGGCTTCAAGAGGCGCTCCTGTTCCAGCCTCCTGCGAAGGGCGGCTCTACTAGCGTGAGGCAGGCGCGCTGCCGGAGGGTGCCGCCAGGGGGCGCGCGTCCACAGCCGCTTCGCCAGCCGCAGGGGCCCCGGGGCGCTCCCTCCGCTCCTCTCGCTCACGTCGGCTTCCGCCGGAAGCGGCTACCGTCCGGCGTCGTCGGGGGTCCGAGCTTGGCGGGGGTGGGTCGGCGGCTCCGGGGGCCCGAGGGCGAAGCTCGGCGTGAGCCGGGCCTGCGACATGGACGTTCTGAAGTCGGAGATCCTCCGGAAGCGGCAGCTGGTGGAGGACAGGAACCTGTTGGTGGTGAGGATCCTTGGGGGTCGTGAGGCCGTGTGTAGGGGCGGGGGTGGGGTGGGGTGAAGGGCTCCGCGCGGGGATGGGGCTTGGTGGGAGCGGCCCCCGGACCCGCCTAGGACGCCTCCCTTGGGAGTCTCAGGGAGGCGCGGGATTGCAGCGAGCCCCGGGATTCTGGCAGATGCCCCCCCCCCCAGCTGCCCCTTTTGCACCCGCGCCCATCTGTCCGTATTCCGCGGACGGGCCCCGGTTCTGGTGGCTCACGTCTGTCGTTTTACTGAGGGTTTGTGCCCGGCTGGAAAAAAAAAAAATATCTGTGAAATCTGGGACTGCGTCCTGCTCTCGAAACCTGTCTGAGCTTTTATTTTGTCGTCGTCTTTGCCCCCCTCCGCCTCCGCCCCATCCCGCCCCCCGCCCCCCGCCCCTTCGCTGATGGGACGGCCGGCACCGTTCTGGACAAACAGCGGAGTGAGGAGAACGAGGAGAATTGCGTGATACAGAAACTTCCGTGAACTGGGTATTGAGGACCGCGTTGCATGGCGGTCCCTGAGACCAGCGGTTCTCAGGGCCTTGGGCCCCTGCAGCCCTGGACACTCTTCCCGATTATCGGGGATCACAGAGAGCTTTTCTCGATGTGTTCACGGATACTTGCCACGGTAGACGTCAAAGCTGGGCAGTCTGTCTCACGGAAGCTTAGCCGACCTTCAGGGTTGTGTTAGCTGCGGGGGTATCGCGGAGGGATCCGACCGTTACGGCCGTCGGGAAATGCAGACCACCGTGTGGGTTAGCGTGTGTCGCCAGCCAAGGTATTGAACTCTTTACTGTGTTCCCGAGGCGGTGCTTTTCCGTGCACGGGACTTGATCTTGTAACCGGAACTTTGTACCATTTAGCCTCCTTCACCTGTTACGCCCCCCCAACACCCTGTCTCTGTATTTATTAGCTTCTGCTTTGTTTGTCTTGCCTTTTTTGGATTCCATAGAGAAGTGAGATCATATGGTATCTCTTTCTCTGACTTTTTTTTTTTTAAGATTTTATTCATTTATCACACACACACACACACACACACACACACACACACACACACACACAGGCAGAGGGAGAAGCAGGCTCCATGCAGGGAGCCCGACGTGGGACCCCAGGATCGTGCCCTGGGCCGAAGGCAGGCCCTAAACCGCTGAGCCCCCCCCGGCTGCCCTCTCTTTCTCTGACCTAATGTCACTTTGTGTGGTGCACTCTAGCGGCATCCATGTCGTCCCAAATGGCGAGATTTCATTTCTTGATACTGTGACTGTATGATTTTATGTAGAATCTGATGATTTAAAGTCTTTATCTTTCTGCATCTTAGTGTCCATCGGTGGTTTTCAAATTTCTCACCGCCCCAGTCACCATGAGAAATGTTTAGTTTGCTCTGATGGGTATAACGGAAAAAAGTTTCATGAAACTGTTCTCAGTTTAACTACATGTGATTCTATCCTATGTTTTAATCCGTTCTGTTTGATTTTTAAAAATCCTGGTTGGGGGTCACTGTGTTGTTTTCATTACCTTGTCTGTAGTTGGAAAACACCTGTCTGTGCTACAGTGTTCCTCAGAAGAGCTGCCTCAGCTTAGTCCTTTCAAGTGAGGTTGCAGCTTTTTGTTTTTCTGAGAGTTGACATAGTACTTACTGTGAGTGCCTCCTTGTTAAATTGGGGAAGCTCCTAAAATAGCCTCCTGTCACCTGTCCTAAATGATCTGCCTGCTGTAACTACTTAGAAGTAAGTGTAGTCTCTTGCTTCATAACAATGCTTTGGAGTCCTGGTGTTGGTGAATCATGAGCTAACACGGAGCGTCATTATATGGAAAACCCAGTGCTTCAGAAACAGTGGAGCACAATTAGCAGTTTTCATTTATGTTGTACTCACGAGTATGGTCTTTGTGTAGAATTTTACCTTTTGTTTTTTCCCTCAATAATATTTACTGAATGTTTTCTATATGTTTCCATGTACACTACACTGTGCTACGGAGGATTAAAAAAAAAAGTCATGCTTGATCCTTTAAGGACTATGCATCCAGTTTCACAGAAAATAGAGAAGCCAACAGGCAAGATATTCCTCACCCTTTGTCCTGTTGAAATGGGACATGAGGTATCATTTAAGCTTGGGTCAAACCTTCCACTTGCTCACTGGATCTCAGCTTATCTCTTTTAGGATCATCAGGAACCTTATGTCCCGTATCTCCTCTCTTCCCTGTGCCTTCTGTCTACTGGCTTTTCTGGCTTTTCCCCTTCAGTCCTAGAACATACTGATGTCTCCTGTCTTTAACAAGGTTTTTTAAAAAGATTTTATTTATTTATTCATGAGAGCCACAGAGAGGCAGAGACACAGGCAGAGGAAGAAGCAGGCTCCCTCTGGGGAGCCTGATGTAGGACTCGATCACAGGAACCCACAGAACCCAGGATCACGACCTGAGCCAAAGGCAGACAATCAACCACTGAGCCACCCAAGTGCCCCAGGTTTGTTTTTTTTTTTTTTGTTTTTTTTTTTATAACCAGGATTCTTAAAATAAGTCTTAATTCCTCCACACTCCTTAACATGATGCACAAAGGTTCCTGCTCCTGCAACTGTACTGAATTGATTCTGATTAGGGATATCAGTGACCTCCATAGCATTTGACAGTCTTGACGAGTCTTCTTTCTGCATGTGCCCCTCTAATCTCCTCCTTTTTATGATATTGCTAAAAGGATCTTGAACTTGAAAAGGTCAAGGGTTAGTAATTTCTGTGCTGGTGAAAAACTGTGCCCATTATACTGTAGCACCAGAGTTGTTCTGGCTCTATTAAACCTTTTTCATTTTTTCAGTTCTTTGGACTTGGCTTTCTTCACTCTTTCTCATCCTTATTTTGTTTTATTTTATTTATATTATATTATATTATATTATATTATATTATATTATATTATATTATATTATATTATATCATATCATATCATATCATATCATATCATATCATATCATATCATATCATATCATTTATTCAGGAGAGACACAGAGAAAGAGGCAGAGACACAGGCAGAGGGAGAAGCAGGCTACATCCAGGAAGCCCGATGTGGGACTCAGTCCCGGGACTCCAGGATCACGCTCTGGGCCGAAGGCAGGCGCTAAACCGCTGAGCCACCCGGGCTGCCCTCTCATCCTTTTTTTTTGTAATAGTCTGTAATTTTCTTGAGCTTCTGTATTTCATGTTCAATGGGTAGCCTCTGAAAGTTTTCCTTTAGTGCGGTCAAAAAACAGTGTGGTGGAGACTTTGCTTTCCTGTTGATAGTGTATTTTGATATCTGCAGAGTAGAATTTTTGTCCTTTGTTTTACTTGGAAATTTTTCAACTGAAGAAAACTCAAAAAATTGTAGTAAGAAACTCACATGCCTACCATGTCGATTCTACAGTTAAACCTGTGTTAACATTTAACTATTTGTTTTATCATGATTTTTCTATCTGTCCATTCATTACTTTGTCTAACAATGCAGAAACTACTTCAGAGTAGTTTGAGCAGTCAGAACTTATTTAGGATTGGGGATAGTCTGTTTCAGTAGCTTCTCTACAGTTTGGTGAAGGGGCACTCACAAGGTAAGTATTATTTCAACTCTCACAGATTAACAATAAAAAGCTGCGGGATCCCTGGGTGGCTCAGCTGTTTGGTGTCTGCCTTCGGCCCAGGGCATGATCCTGGAGTCCCGGATCGGTCTCCCTGCATGGAGCCTGCTTCTCCTTCTGCCTGTGTGTGTGTGTGATGAATAAATACATAAAATCTTTAAAAAAAAAAAAAACCAAAAACAATAAAAAGCTGGGACACCCCCTGGAAATGACCAAAGGTGAGGCAGCTCCTCCAGAACCAAACAGATAATTTCTTTTTGGCTGCAGATGGGGTAATGAGAACAATTTAACAATCTTAATATATTTCAAGTTAAGTTGCAGACATTGGTACACTTTACCCCTAAACAACTTGCTGTGCATCATTAGTCACACTTCAGTGTTTGCTTATACTTCTTTTTATGTGTAAGCACAAATTTATATAGTAAGAAATACACAGATCAGTGAATTTTGACAAATACATATACCTGTGTAGGCCCATTCGTATCAGAATACAGAATGTTCCCTCGTTCCATTTCTCAGGCATTCCCTCTGCCTCCCACCCCCAGAAGCCACTACTGCTGGTTGGTTTTGCCTGCTGTAGAACTTCCACAGAAGTAGAGTCCTACTGGGCACTCTGCTGTGTTCCACTTTGTTTAGTCATAATGTTTTGAGTTGTATTCATGTTGCATGTATCAGTTGCTCTCCCCCCCACACACATAGTATTCCATTAAATAAATAGACCCAGTTTGGGAAATCATTCTTCTGAGGTTGGACACCATGGCTCTTCCCAGGATTTGACTCTTAAGATCAGAGCTGCCAGGAACTTCTCCAGAAGTGTCATGTTTTCATTTCTCTTCGGGAAATGCTGGGGAGTAGAACTGCTAGGTCATAGAGTACATACATGCTTTTATAAAAAGCCACCAAATGCTTCTCCAAAGTGCTTGGACCCTGTTACACCTCCAGCAGCAGAGTTCGTTCAGATGTCCTCCATTCCTGAGAGCAGTTGTGTTGTCAGTCTTTTTAATTTCAGCCATTTGGAGGATGTGTAGTGATACCGTGTTGTAGCTTTATTTATTTATTTTTAAAGGTTTTATTTAATTATTTATGAGAGAGAGAGAGGCAGAGACACAGACACAGAGACACAAGCAGAGACACAGGCAGGCTCCATGCAGGGAACCCTACATGGGACTGGATCCCAGGACTCCAGGATCACACGCTGGGCTGAAGGCAGGCGCTAAAGCGCTGAGCCACCCAGCGATCCCCCGGGTTGTGGTTTTAATTCTCATCTGCCTAATGATGATGATAGTGCTTTTCATGGTTTGTTTGTTTGTTTTACCATTTGTATCTCTCTTGGGTTTTTGGGGTTTTTTTGTTGGTTTTTTTTTTTTGTATCTCCTTTGTAA